CTGACGGATTAAACCTCTGATATATTGGCTCCCGTTGAGATACAATGATTGACTAAGTAATTTTGGTGTATTTCCTTTTTTTTTAAAAAACCTTAAAACTTTTGGCTTCAGTTTGGGTATTTTAAAATCAAAAACTAATGAACTGTATATTTTATTTACTATTGAGCAATATATTTAAGAATATTTTTTGAACTATCTATTTCCAGAACCAAAAATAACAGACTAAAAATTGTAGGAATTGCAGCCGTGACGAAAATTGTCAAAGTTAGTAGAGATATGGTATGTACGTTGGTTGCATTTCCACAATTTGAAAACGAGAATTAATACGGTAAAATTTTTTGTCTTATTATTTCAAAACTCGGTTGAAATGACGACGTCGAAACTTTTCGGCTGAGAAGCTTTGATAAATTATGCACAATATTCACTCTAGATTTTTCGCTAGAGAGAGTTTTGAGGGTTCGCCGAAAAAAGGAGGCTATATCAAGTTTTTTCAAGCGTTATGAAAGCTGGTCCAATTTGGTACTAGTTGGCATCTCTTTTTTTTGGCTGACTGATTTACATTATTTCCTAAAAATGCAAAGTTGCACTATCTTTGATGGGAGAGCTCGCGAGAAAAACGCAATTTTTTTATTAACAGCTTTCAAAAAACCGAAAATATTTTACATCTTTCATAACGCAAGAAAAAACTTGATATAGCCTCTTGTTTCGGCGAACCCTCAAAACTCTCTCTTGCAAAAATTCTAGAGTGACTAAACTTTGACACGAAATAAACTTTGACACGGAACTTTAACAATAATTTGGGAATAAACTTTGACACGAAACATAATGAGGCTAACTTCTCAAATTAAATCTACTTCAATTTTTTCTATTTTTTTAATTATATGCCTATAACTACTCTAACTACTCTTTTGTGCAGTTATTTACCTAATTAGGACGCCCCGACGAAACAAAAACAACAAAAAAACTCCTAAATGACCTTTTTATCTTTTTTTAAATCAATTTTATCATTATTTGTACTGCAACTGGTCATCCTTGTTTATTAAAGAAGCGAGGAACTTTCTAACTATTATATCATACTTACATACTCGCTCATTTATTTCTTCGGCCCAATTTGCCAGGAGTAATAACATTGTTGAGAAATAAATATATCCGTTATTTTCATTAAATGTAAATTTTCGCAAATTTTAAAAGCATATTTTTTTTGAGAATGATTCTAATTACTTGTTCCCAAATTATTGACAGGTGATAAAAACTTTGGAAAATCTAGAAGTCCTGGACAGAATTTTTATCAACTTTTAAAAATGAATTAAACGTACTGAAATTCACTGAAGAGTACTTACACATTTCAGATTACACTCAACTGAGAGACATACAGACGACTTCAAGATTCGGGTTGCTTATTTCACGACCACAAAATAGGTAAAAACTTTACCACTCTAACACTTAGTGGCATAATTTCGAGAACTTTGAGCGTCAAAAAAGTTGGAAAAAAAGCTTAAAATATCAACACTTTCCATATGACTGATGAAAAAGTAAGAAAAAGCTACAAAGAAAGTTTGAGCGGGGATTTGACGGGGCATTATTTTTTTAAATCAAATTTAGGTTTCTTTTTTAGCCCAAATTATAATCTGTTGCGAAAATGTTGGAGTAAAGATTACCACCAAGATGTGCCACAATACAATAACTGTTATTTGGTTCAGAAATTCTCTTGAAAGCTATTTTGGAAATCATTATGTTGCAAATAGGTACACTTAAGAGAGCCCATTTTTCACGTGGATTGTAAATGACACTAACGACATCACATTTGCGAGAAGAATGAAAACGGGATTGACAAATTTGATGTTCTCTTTTTGATATTGACAATGGCGTTGACTTTCATTCTGTGAATAGAAATGTCTGAATTATTAATGAAAAGAGTTGTCTTATTTTCTTGCAAAAACTTTTTTGAATGAGAATATATAATTAAAACGCAAAGTCATAAATGTGGAAAATCTAATTGAAATTCTTGAATGGAACATCTTACAATTGTTAAACATTTTAAACTTCACAAAATAAGCGATACCAGCCAATCGAAATAGTGTTTAGACGCCTACTTATTACTAACCTTGAGCTTTTTAATCTCTGGTTCAGCACTTGAAAAAAAATAACATATAAAGAGTTAGGTTACAACTAAATTAGTTTTAATGAACTCGCAAAGATGTTCCTTAATATTTCACTTACCGATAAATTGACCAAGAAAAAAAAACATTAATTTTGAATATGAAATCTCAATGTCAGTATTCAAACAACTCAACGCTGGATTAGTTTGGTCGCTTGAGATAAATCTTTATAAATCATTAATTGGCTAAAGGCAAATAATTTGATTCTTAATTTGGAAAAGACGATTTACGATTTTCTCGGGGCGGATTTACGATTTTCTCTAGGGAAAGGGGAAGGATTTTCAAAAACAGTCGAACCTTTGTCCACCTTTTTTTATGGTCGACTAAATCGATTTTCCGAGATCTCCCAAAGCACTTAAAAAGACCAGACCCTGTTTTGGCCAATTTTTTGGCGTTCTTAGGCACTTTTTGGAAGTTTTTGACCAAAAAACGCGTTGATTTTTTGGGGCGCGCTTATTCCTCAAAATTAGTAAGTACCCATTTTTGGTCCGTCAGCCGAAAATGGATATCTCAAAATCGTATAAAGCGAGACCTTTTGGGTTGGCAAGGGAAAAACAACAACAACTGAGAGCATAAAAGATTAGCTTGATTACAATAAAAGTCCTATTTAAAGTCCATAGAGAAAATTCTTATTATACAAGACCATACAAAAATTCTAAGAAAAAAATGCTAGTCAAACAAGCTACATGAATTTTTTGAAACTATTGTAAAAACACGGCAAAAACCATTGTGACCCGTTATGAAAAACGGTATTTTTCTCTCGCGAAAAATGTATCGAACTTGCGTTTTATTAGTGTCATTGATTTTTTTTCGAGCTGCCACACAAAATTTTCTTATAATTTTTGGAGCACAGAACAAATTTTGTCACTTTTCCAAGAAGCGCATGCAAAAGTCAATTCTTGCATCTATATTTGCAGCCGATTGTTGAAAAATTTCTTTTTTTTTCATATGGTTTTTTGAAGAAGTTTTCAAAAGTTGTTTTATTAATTGATTTTTACGTTCTGCACAATGAACTTTTTTTCCAAATATTTCAGCTCGACAATTACGACCATCAAACCAAGCTTAATTACAACCAGACTGCTCATATCAAAGCACAGCCCTGAATGTTTGGACACCCTTTTCAGGTCTCTGGAGCAATAATAACATGAAAAAATTGAATGAAAAAAAAAAGGTTTTTTTTCAATTGAGATTTTTTGTCAAAATTATCCCCCACACGCCATATAAAGTACAAAATGATAGATGTCGCTACAAGTAACAAACAAAATATAGTAAATAAGCTTTCTTAACCCTTTTGCAACGATTTCGTTACAAAAGTCGGAATACAAATACATCAAACGAAGTCTGAATTATTTCAAGACATCATTTGCACAGTTTTTTTTCAATTATGCTGACCTCATTGCATAAAAAGGTCACGGTGTTTATTTAAAAACAGATCAAAATAAGTTTCAGAAAAAAACAAAGAAGCATAAAGCATATGTACTTAGAATGGTTGAAAAAAAATCTTTTAGAATTGTACTGCTTTGAAGTTTCTGTCCTAGTTCTGTCAAAGCGACCATCTACTGTTATTTTCAACAAAGTAATTGGTTATCGTTATCTTTGTTTTCAAATTTATTGTGCTGCAAATTAAACAAAAGCAACACAACTGCTCGTATCAGGGTTCCGACTGCCTTTTCAGGTCTATGGAGCAGTAAAAACAAAAAAAAATTGAATGTAATAAAAAAACTTTTTTAATTTGAGATTTGCTGTGAAAATCATCTCCCCACACGCCATATTGAGAACAAAAAAGATAGATTTTGCTCCTAGTTACAAGCCAATTACGGCAAATAAGCTTCGTCAACCAATTAGGAACGATTTGTAAGACTGATTAAAATCTCCGCTTACGCGTTCATAGTGCGAAATATATCCCGCGGTAATTGTCCCAAATTGACCAAAATGGCAACGTTTAAACCCCATTAACTTGAGAAAAATTGATCAGGGTCGAATATCTTTTGAAATTTAAGCGTCGGACTACAATACCTCTTGAAAAGATTTGAAAAATTCCGTCAAAAACGGCTAGTTAAAAAGTCGAAATTGGTCTGAAGAAAAAAAACCACGCCGAGCAAAAATATACCGTTACTTTCCTTACGAAGGTCGAAACAAAAATCTTTTCTACACAAAGTTCACCGAAAACTAATACACGCCATTCGATTTGAAATTTCAAAAAAAACCCTTCTTTAATGAAAGTTGTATGGTATTGAATGGGTTGAATCTATATAACAATTTCCTCTCTCCCTATGGTATCAATTGAAAATTCCATTGCTTCTAAAAACAGTGTATAAGCCTGCTTGTGCATATTTGCTAAACTTCAAATCTATTTGCTAAATGTAACTGCCGTTTCGATTAAAAGCCTTCGAGATTTTGAGATTTCTTATTTTCATGTATTCTCATTAGTGTATTCTGAAACATTTGATAACTTTACCGAATTGGGTGAGGCGGTTGTCCTTTGAGGCTCATTTGTAACCTCAGATGTTCCTGGTCTCTTTTATTTTTCTAGCTGTTTCAAAACTGGAAACCAGGAAAAACAAATTTAAACTTAGGATGTCAGGATTAATCCAAGACAGTTTGCAGTTAATTGATGTGAGAACAAAAGTTACCTGCAATTTTTTGTTCAGTTCTTAAACAACTCTACCCTTGCACCGAACTAACTGAAGTTCATAAGTTCTGATTATCCGGATCTTGTTTCTAAGGTGTTTTGAGTTGTTTCTATTTTTGGTTGAGAAAAAGGCTCAAAACTAAAACTTCTTGACACAAAATTGATGACCAGAATATGAAATTCAGCCGCCGTGAAAATGTAAAACTTACCAGTAAAGTCATACTTTGTTCTTTCGGCTTCGGAGGAACTACTGACGTCTAAGCCGAGAATTAAACGACATTGCCTTTCGTTTGCTCTAAACACCAGCTGGTTTCCATCGATGAAACAGTTGGCAAAGTCCGCTGCTGATTTCCAGGAAACATTCCTGATTACATCATAACTTAGTCCAATGGATTTGGAATCCCAATAAGATATGGAATGTGAGCTTCTTGGAGAGTATGATTGCACTGATGATGGTAAGGTGGATTGGTTAATGGCCGCCAGAATCATAGAAGCAAGATCATCTTCATTGAGAATCTGGGGCTTAAACATTTCGAAAATGCACCAAAAATTGATATAAAGAAATTACGAATAAAAATAAAAAAGATGATTTCTTTTGATAAAAGAAGGTTCTTGTTCTCATAAAGGAGGGATTTCTTTTTATAAATAAATAAATGATGTTCGTCAAATAAACGTGATTTTCTTCATGAATAAATGGTAATTAACCCCATTGAAAATGGAATTCTATGCCATTTTTTCAGCTGCCATATGATCCTTCCTTTAGCCTGCAAAAACATAAAACTGTTTATTATTCAAAAGATTCTTAAGCTATTATAAGCACTTTTATTATTAACATTCTATTGTATTGGCCATTTACCAGGCGTAAAAATTACTCGGTAGATTGATTATTCTTTTTTTTCTTCCCGAAAATGCGAGTATGGTCTCAAATTCACAAGTTAAGTTATTGATTAAACAGCGCATTAAAATGGATAAGTAGTGTAACGGCGTCTTAAATCAAACATTTTTGAAAATTCGAGTGGATATCCTCGCATATTATTCAAAATTTCCTGGTTGATTAACTTACAGAATTTCTACAAGCGGTTAAATTTTACCTGCATCAAGAACGTAAATATGGAACATGAAAATTTTGACTGATTAATTTATTGAATGATTTGATTAAATTGATTATGGTGTACGCATTATAATAACTTCCAGCAAAAATACTGCAAATGAAGAAATTAAAAAAAATAAATTAAGAAATGCAAAAATATTTTTTTTGTCGAAAAATAGATTTCAGAAATCTTTGAGCTCAATTTTGTTTGCTTGACTTTAACTGTTCGCAGAAGAATCTTAGTCATTTATAGTTACCCGTAAGCCAAGCACAAATGAACTCTTATCAAAACATTGCGCAGATTTGAAAAATCTGATCAGCCAAAAGTTCCTGCAAAATCATCAAATTAAAATATAACTAAAACAAAAAAGTTGTAAATATCGATTGGCGCTCTAGATTTCGTACGGGCATGATTTAACTTATAGGGAGTTTTCAATATGTCAATAGAAATCAAAACCCTGAATCAAAGCAAAAATCCATGCCATTATAAGTTGACACATCAAAACATGACATTTTATTTGTTTTAACAGCACGATATAATTTCTACTGTCGTGGCTCAACATTTTTACAGCGGCAGCGCCCTTCCTTAGTTTAGCTTGTTTGAGAACCTGAAAACCGCAGGTCTATTTAAGCAGAAACTATTAGTATCTTCTAAAGACTGGTTTAAATTGCTCGAGACTGAAAATGGTCGAAATCGATAATTTTAGCCCGAGGTTGATTGATCAGCCGAAGCCTAATTAAAACCAAATCGGTAGCAAATTTATACTCTTGATTGTTGTTCTTAGAACACTTTTTTACTTCTGCATTTCCATACATTTAATTCAGACCAAACCGTTAAATTAAAATATTTTTGAGCATTTTATTGGTTTTTGATGTTAACTGTTACTGTCCCGACAATTCACGGAGTTTGAAAAACTATGGCCGAGCTCGCTTTTTATTCTCAAAAAAATCAAGTAGCTTGAACAACACTCGTACGGTATAAAATGTGATAACGCATAAAAAAGGTCGGAACTCTGTGCTGTTTGTACAGGTACCTTACTAGCTAGTCTCTGAAAATTTTTAAAAAATTTGAAAGATATCGTTGCCTTCAAATTTGAAAAAAAATCCAACTGCCATCTTTTTTTGCAATGTTTGAAAAATGCTCATGAGTCAGGCCGCGTTTAATTTACAGACTTCAGGGACAAGGTTTCGGCATGTCCAGGCTTTTGAAACCATACTCTGGCATGTCCAATTTTTCGCAATTAAAAAATGGCATTTCCAGACTTTCGAAACCACACGTTTCCGTTGCGAAGATCGCAACCGAGGCATAGACGGTGCAACCAGACACTTGTGACCGAGATTTAGTATGCTTAGACTTTCGCGACCAAACTTTATTATTCGTAGATTTTTGTGACTGAAAAACTCTTTTGCGATTTTTGCCCTCCCTCAGGGATTCGACCCCCTGCCGATCCAAAGGGTCCGCCTTATAGACTATTATGAGATATTTTACTAATTTGGTGCCAATACATACTGTTTTTGAGTGGGGAGCGCGCGCCGAAAAAACGCGATTTTGTGGTATAACTTTTCCAAAAAGTGCCTAAAACGCCTTTTTCGCCTGTTTTTTCAAAATTTTGCCCGCGACGCAGAAAATTTGGCCAAAACAGGGACTTTTAGTGCTTTGGGAGAGCTGGAAAAATCAATTTGGTCGACCTAAAAAGAAAAAAAGGTCGACCAAATTTTCCAAAATTTTTTGAAAATCCGGCCCCCCTCGAGACCTTAACGGACGGTCTGTTGCTTTCTAATAACACGAGTACGCGGCGGATTTAATCATTGCCAATAAAGTTTAGGCCAGCTTTTTTTCGATAAATGAAGCTAAACACATTCTTTTCCATTTTACATAGTGTGTGGAAGATAAAAAGAAGTCAAAACAGTTTTTTTCCGTTTTTTCCTTTTTTAAGTTAATTTTCGATTTTCTGGTGTCAAAATTTTTTCTTGAGTTTTAAGTTGCAGAGCATTCAGTTCTTTGCCCTACAAGCAATCTTGTTTATCTTTAATACTGCAAATCTTTGTCCCTCCTCGTTGAGAACAATACATTAAAAAATCAAAAAAAAGCGTTTAAAAACGCGGAAGTAAACAGACTGAAACTTAAGAGTCTGATAGTCAAGAAAGGAACGGCAATTTAATTTCAAATTCATTCATGTGCAAATGCACTGAAACTTAACGACATTTGATAAAATTTATATGACGGCCCAAATAGCAATTCTAGAACTTATATGGTGAAAACAGAAGCTGGATTGTCAAAATAAAAAGTCAGGGCGGGACCAAAAGTTGTCTTTTAGAATTAATCCTGCAGTACATAAACATGCAGAATAAAATAACCGCCCCTTTTCTGGTCAAAATAAATTACGCAATATCAAAATAACGAGTTAGGGCACTGTCATTTCCGTAAACACCTCCATAAATCATTACTCAATTATTTGTCGTTGACACCTTCAGAAATACTAAGTAAAATACGAGTTCAACAATTTTTACGACGACCTTTGCCAAATGATACATAAAAAGCTGTCATTTTCATCTGAGATGGTAAAAAATAAATAAATAAATAACTGAGATTAAAATGAACCAAAAATGATTGAGATGTGTTTAGATTATTCGAGTTAGCGTGTTCGCCTCTGCCGAAAAATATCAATTTCCAACAGATGAAAGCATAAATTATTGATGCCATTAACTAGCTGTGGGCGTCACCGTGCTGCTATTATCTGTATTGTTTCGCGTTATTTGAAATCTGTCTAATAAATTTCCCTTTGACGAGGGAAAGAAAAAAAAGTAGCTGATAAAAATCTGAACCGCAGTCTGACTATGCATCTGCTTCGAGCGAAGTGCAGAAAACAATATGCGAATGCGATACTTTTTTCAAACCAAAAAATTTAAAAAAATCTTGAAGCAAATTGGAAGCCAAATTGTTTTAAATCAAAAGTGCGGCTTGTACTAAAGCGAAGCCTTGGATCTTTTGTCTCCCTCCTACAATTTTCAAATTAGTTTTCTCTGTCCATAAAAAATAAGAAAGAACTTTTAAGCAAGCTTTTTTAGATTGGCCTGTCAAATGAACAAACATTGTCCAAATTGAATGAAATCATCCGCTGTCCTTTAACTTCTTTCAAGTACATATGTAATTGGCAGTGCAAATCACCTAGTACTTGATATCTGTATCAATTTGTTTAATTTCAAATCAATCTAATAAAGTTCCCATTTGACGAGAAAGCAAAGCAATAAGCAGATAAAAAACTTATTTATGTCTTCGAATGAATCTAACTCAATGCATCTAAGAAAGTGAAGGAGGCATTAAGTGAATGTGATACTGTTTTGTTCATAACAAAGCAAAAAACTCAAACTGAAAAACATCAAAACGCGGTCATTGGATCAGGTGAGACCCTGGGTCATTTGACTCCCTTATTAGATTTTTCGAACTAATCTTTTCGGTATGAAAATTTTTTTTTGAAAAAATTGGGCGATGAAACATCTTATTACAGCTGAAATGTAAGCAAAATAATCTGGACGTTCTTTCAAGTTATATTAAACTGATTAGTAATGATTTGGACAAAAATTCAATTGTGATCTGCAAATGCAACAGTAACCGTCCGACAGTGCAGAATACTCGTTTAATTTTTGTTTTTATGACAACTCGGGTGGTTAAACTTCATAAAAAACTCCGTATCATACAATTTCATTAATGGAACCTACGGAATTTTTTTTTATTGTACGACTATGATAAGCAATTGTTCCATTCAAACAAAAAAAACTTCAAAAATTTTTTTAAAAAAATTTTGAGTAGTTTTGAATACATTTTTTACCGCTTTTTGCCGAAGAGAGAGCCTTTTGAGAGTCCTTGGTTTCTCAAAAAAAACGGTTCAAAAACTATTTGTTTTTTACCAAATTTTCAAAAAATATTGTATTCATTTTAGTAGCTAATTGATTTGATTTTCAAAATCTTCAAAAAATGGCATACCATTTTTTGCTTATATCATAGTTCAGACACAGTATTCAAGCAGAAGAAACAAAGCAAGAAAACCACAAGGAAGATGGTTTGTATAATCAGAACTTTTAATTTTATTGTTTCTAATTATTCACAGAAACTTAGTTTACTTCGAAAAACATGCCACAATTTTCAACAACTAAGTTTTCCGATGTAGGCGAAATAACGATGTAAAAACTTATTACAAAAACTGCAATTTTTGTTAGATTGTTATTTGGAAAAACAGCAGAACTATGTTCTAAGAAAGTGAAAGGTTTAAGCAAATGAAACTAGTCTTTCTTCAATCAGAAGAGCCGTATATGAGAGCAAAATTTGTTTTGTAGAAGCTCGGGTTCACGCCGATTAGGAAAAAATCCGTCCTCTTGTTACGTTCAAATAATTTTAAGAAAAATTGGGTGATTAAGTATAAAATTATTGCAAACACAAAAGCAAAATAATTGGAACGTTCTATCAATTTATTTTAAACAGATTTGTAAAGATAATTGGCCGAAATTTTCCAAATGTATCATTTTCTAACAGCAACTTCTTGGCCAATTCGAACTAAGTTAATGATTTTTTGAAATTTTTTATTAGGTTAATTTGAACATAAAAAAGGGACATGAGTTAATTGAAACATAAAAAGGATGAGAAATTAGTTGAAAAGATGGATTCAAAGTCGTGTT